ATATCCATTAAAGAGTAACGATGGGGTTAACAAAAATTTGGGAAGAAAATTTAGGATAAATAATGTGTTATTAAATTAGTTTATACTTATAATATCATTTGTCTTCAAAAACAATAAAAGTCAATTATTAAATAATATATGATTTTATTTTTTAATATTTTAAATTATGTGACTTATGATAAATAATTCATCTCAAAATTTGATTGTAAATTTTGATTTCATTGATTATTATTCTTCGTTAAATGATTTTTTTAACTTGAATATAGGTTAAAAGTGCAATAGTTATATCATTTTAACATTAATTAGTATTAAAACAATAAAAGTTGACTTTTGTTTAATAAATTATCTAATTAAAATAATATACATGATTATATAAACAAAATTTGTTGTCAAATTATTTTCTTTATTTTTATTAGTATTATTATTATATAAATAAAAACATAACAAAATTAATAAACATTAACTTAAAATTTTTTTATTTAAGATTAAATTCACTAGTTCAAACTCTTATGAAAGCAACTAATGTCAAGTGCACAAAAAAATATTTTTTATTCAAAACTAATTTTATCCCTGGTGGTCTTAGCCTTAGGATCACCTCTCACATTTGCTTCTTATATTCATTGCAACATTTTTTTGGATTATATACAAAACTTCATCAAAAACTAAAAAATGATGATTAATTGGATGATAGGATGTCATGGCAATTGTGTGTCAAGAGAAGGTTGTCATTTAGGAGTAAAATATGTGGAAAACATGCTATAATTGTAGGTGAATAATGAAGGTATATCATCAATGGAAAATGCCTACGAAAAAAAGGTGGGTAATATTTCGACATTGAGTCTAAAAGTGATTAGGCAACAGGGCATTGCTGAATCCATCTTGGCTGTCTGTGAGTCTGACATGTTAAATATTAGGAAGTTCAAGTTCATCCCATCTCCAGGTTTATGTAGCACAATCTTTGCTGGACAGCAGAAAAATCTCGACCAGATAACTTGGCTATATATGAATTTTATAAGTAAACAAGCTGAGTTTAAAATTAAGTTCATCCGAATTAATTTATTTAGAAGATAATTGTTTTTCTATCTCTTTGTTAGCTTTTTTTATTATTATTATTGAAAATCAATGCTTACGTCATGACTTGATAAATTACATACAATAATTGACTTTTTATTATAGATTGCATGATATAATTCAAAATTTGAATTTATTTAAAAATTAAGAAAAAAACCTCAAAACTTTTATTTTTTTTAATAAAGATTTATTTATA